TGATAACCATCATGCTGTTTAATCCTATTTATAAAACTAAAAATAACAGTGTATCCTAGTAATAAATAGGTTATAAATAGATAATATATCTGATGGAAATTCATTCAACTTGACATTTTTCTGGATTTTTCTTTTAAGATACACATCATTCAAAATTATAAGTACTCATAAATTATATGTACTCAGATAAAATACTCAATTCAGTATGGCAATCTATAAATGAAATTCTATGATAATACTGTAAGATTTTTATTCATATTTACAAAATCTGAATTCTTGTTTTACTCACCACATATTCAAACACAAGTGTCAGCGTCTCCTTGGTGTGGATAATGTCATGAAGCAACACTATGTTAGCATGTTTTAGTCCTTTTAACAGAGAAGCTGTAAAATAAAGTGGACAAAGAGATAATTTATCATGGGTAACAATCAACTGATATGTTGTTTCATTACCATTTTGGCACATTGTCAGATGAAATATATCTATTTTCCCATTTTCCAGGCCAATAACAACTCAGAAGCAAGGGCGGAGGAACAAGGTTTTCATTTAGATGAAGCTCTGCCCAATTATTTCACCTGTTACTTTTTATTAATCTCCAGTTTGATTCCATTATGGTCAGAGAGCACATCTGGTACAATTTCAACGCTTTTAAATTTGTTAAGGTTTGTTTTATCACCCAGGATACAGTTTATCTTGGTATACATGCCATATCTACACAATATATATTTTGCTGGTGTTGAGTGGTGAGTTCTACAAATGTCAATTAGATCCTGTTGGTTGGTGGTGTTGTTGAGTTCTTCTAAATACTTGCTAATTTTCTGAAGAGTGGTTCTACCAATTATTAAAAGAGTGATTTTGACATCCCCCACTGTAACTGGAGATTTGTCAATCTATTATTTGAATTCTGTTTTTGCTTTGTATATTTTGAAGCTCTGCTATTTGTTGTAGATACATTTAGAATTGTTTTCTTTGTGAATTGACCCATTTATCAACATACAGTGTCTCTCCTTATCCCTGGAAATTTTCTTTGCACTGAAGTCTGTTTTGTCTGATATTAATATAGCTACTCCATCTTGCTTTTTGGTTTTAAAA